TGCCTCTGCCCGCTGACCCTGTCCCCGGCACCCCCACAAGGGCGGCTGGCTTCCAGATACAGCCCCCAGGGCTCGGGGCAGGTCCTGGGAGTGGACCAAGCCATCGAGAGCCCGGGTTCTGTGCTCCCCAGGAGTCCTGTCCACCGAGAAGCGGGGTGCCAGGCTGCCTGTGGGGCGCATGCTGTGGCCGTGTCGGGGGACCCAGCTGGGCTCCGGCCCTGGTCTCCGGCACTAGGCGGTTTCCTGCTCGTGACCAGCTTCTCTGTCTGTGAGGTGGCCACAGCGGTCACTCCCACTGGCACTCATGCCCCTTCCGGGCTCACGGCCGTGCACGCTGCCCCCCCCCAGCTCCAGGCTGGGCAGTCGCGCGCCCCGGCCGCCCCTCACTCCTGGCAGTGATGGCCGGCAGCCGCCCCTCGGACCCGGTTTCTACTTGATAAGTGTGGAGAGAATTAGAAGAATTAGACAGGTCACGCCCGGGTGTTATCGGCCTGTGAGGGATCTCGGCACCTCGGCCGATAAAAGCTGCCCCGCCCGCCCGCAGGTGAGGCCGCCCCGCGGCGCACAGAGGGCCCAGCCGCTGGCTCAAGGTCACGGAGCCCAGCTCAGGACTCCGGCCCAGCTCAGCTCCCTCCGCAGCTTCCTCTGCTGTGAGTGCGTGGTCCTGGCCGCGCCCCTCCGGGGTGCTGGGGACCCAAACCCCGCAGGCGAAACCCTCCCCAGCTCCAGAGTGGGGCCAAGCCCGGGTGCCGAGATGAAGCCCGATGGTCGGTTCCCTTGGAAACCCCAGGGCCCAGCGGGCGCGGCCCCCAGAGGCGCCCGGCCGCCCAGGCCTGGCCGCCCAGGCCCTGCACCCTGCTGCTCTGGCCTGGCCACCCCGCCTGAGCCGGCAGCTTTGGCCCCACGGAACTTACATCCTGGGGAGAAGGAAACCCCAAACCAGCAGGCCGGGGGGCTGCAGCTTGGAGACCGCGGACATCGGAAGCCTCAGCCAGGTGCCGCGGGGCGGCGACAGGGCTGCAGCAGGCCACAGGCTGCGGAGGGGCCAGGCCAGGGGCCTCCAGGCAGAGGGGACAGTGGGCAGAGGCCCGGGGCAGAGCTGGCCTGCCCGCCGGGTCGGGTTCAGACGCCCTTCCAGGGGTGCTCAAGCCAGGCAACGCAGGTATCTGTTCACCCCACAGGGCGTGGCCCGGGCGAGGCTGGGCTGGCTGGCAGGGGGGCCGGTGCCCTGCTCACGGGCCCTCGGCCCCCAGCCCCAGGCCCACGCTCTTCCCTCGCCGCTTGCGTGTCTGCTGGCCGCGGGTGTGGGATTCAGCTGGGCTCAGTGGGAGATGGGAGACCCCAGCCCCCCCCCACACACACACACAGGGCCCAGGGACAGGCACTTGGGGTGGAAGAAAGGTCCTCTCAAAGGGCAGCTGTGCCCGCTTCCCCCTCCCCCCCGCCCTGCATGGGGCCTCTGGATGGGCCTGGGGGACACCCCGCCAGAACTGGAGCAGCACCGGTCCCTGCACCTCGCCCCAGGACAACAAAGCAGGGAACCCCGAGAGCTCGCCTGCAGGGGAGCAGCCTGGACGCGGAGCCCGGGACCGGTGCGGTGAGCGGGCAGCGGGCCGGCTGCATGGTCGTGGGCAGCTCGCGCCTCCTCACTGAGCCGGCTGACCGCTGCCGGGCCGGGCCCGTGCTGGCTCTCAGCTGGGCTTCGGGGGAGTGCGAGCCCGGCACCTGC